ACATACATACATACATACATACATACATACATACATACATACATACATACATACATACATACATACATACATAATTTTATTTTGAATTTCTGAAGGTTAGACTTTGGCAAGCTGTTCTAAGCTCTCCTTTTGTTAGTGATCTCCCAGGACACGCATAGTAAACATGACTCTACATTCCCCAGAAATGAGATGCTGCAGCACTGTGGTGACACTATGTGACCTTAGCCCTGCCTGCACCTTTCCAGCTTCTCCTGTTTTGTACATTTGTGACCAGCGTGAGGTGAATGTGAGTAATTGTGACTGTGCAGAGCTGTGAGGAGGAAGAGGGGTTGACGGCTAACTTCCATGTCTCTCACACGTGCTTGTCAATATAGCAACATCCACTTGGGAAAACAAAGACCCAATGCTCTGGGGGCTGATGAGCTCCCTTATGTACAGTTGTGTGAAAAAGTGTTGGCCCCCTTCCTGATTTTTCATTGTTTTGCACGTTTGTCACACTTTAATGTTTCAGATCATCAAACAAATGTAAATGTTAGTCAAAGATAACACAAGTAAACACAACATGCAGTCCTGACCTGAATCCTTTGAAATGCTGTGGCATGACCTTAAAAAGGCGGTTCATGCTGGAAAACTTTCAATGTGGCTGAATTACAACAATTCTGCAAAGATGAGTGGACCAAAATTCCTGCACAGCGCTGTAACAGACTCATTGCAAGTTATGGCAAACGCTTGATTGCAGTTCTTGCTGCTAAGGGTGGCCCAACCAGTTATTAGGTTTAGGGGGCAAACACTTTTTCACACAGGGCCATGTGGGTTTGGATTTTATTTTCACTTAATAATAAAAACCTTCCTTTTAAAAACTGCATGTTGTGTTTACTTGTGTTATCATTGACTAATATTTAAATTTGTTCTGAAACGTTAAAGTGTGACAAACATGCAAAACAATGAAAAATCAGAAGGCGGGGCCAACACTTTTTCACACAACTGTATGTGCGTATATGATTGCAGCTTGATGGTCATTCTGTTTTCTAGAAGTTTCTTTTCTGACTGCAATCATAGGCATCAAAAATTCTTCTATGATCCTAGGCCTCATCCACACTAGCTGCAGGTGTGTGATACGATTACATGCAGATAGGATCAGTCCCTATCACTGGACACGGCAATCCCTCTCCACGTTATTGTTTTGGCTTCATTGCTTTGTGACTAAATGGGTGGATTTGAGACCTCGTATAAACCACCAATCCAAACATCCAGCTGCTGCTAAGGAATTACAGTTTGAGGGTGACTGGCATGCATTGTGTTCTTCACATCTGCAAATACACACAAATGGCATTGATAGTCTGCATCTTACACCTATCTGATCAGCCAATAGCGGGTGATATTTATATCATGCGTATCTTTTGGACATGTCTCATACCTTGCGTCCTGGAATGATGTGGCATGATTGTTTATGTGAGGAACTTGACAGGTTTGAGTATTAATAACAATGAAATTGGAGATCCCCCAGTCACCCGGCAGGGTGGGAGGCTAAAGCTGCACGATTAGTGGCTGATTACATGGAATGTACATGGATTCACTGCTGTCCCCTGAAAAGAGTGTGAGCCATGACAATGCTGTTTATAATTTAGACTGTGTCCAGCTTTTTGGGGCAAGTGGTTTGTAAGAATACATGTGCAGCACAGCGAGTTGGCCTCAGCACCCTATGAATGGAAGTGTTACTGGTAAGATCACCAGGCTAAAGTGCGAGAAGGAAAACGAATGCAGCCGCCACATCTAAGGAGTGGTAGTTATTTATTTTAGAATCCATGTTCCATTATTGGTGCTAGTTTCATATATGGAGGAGGGGGTCATGTTAAAGGAAGACCCTATAAAGTTGCAGGTTATGAAATTCTTTCGGAAGTGTTTTGTAGTGTTTGTATTTCCGGTGTATTTGTCGCAATGTTTCTGAACCTAAAATGTTCTTTTTGTATTTGTACAGGATTCAGAAAGAACTGGCTGACATCACCCTGGATCCTCCCCCAAACTGCAGGTTGGTGTCTCTTCTGTTATGTGACATTGCTGACTCGCATAGTTACTTTGGTAACTTTTCTGGTGTTGCTGCTGCTGCTGCCTTTGAAACTGATGAATTGTTTCACTTCTCACTGCTGTATGCAACAAGGAAGAACAACACTGGCTTGCTGGTTCAAATGAACCTGACACCAGTATACTGAGACATGTTTGCTCATTGGTTATTCCTCTTCTGCTTTAGGCCTGGTTCACACCTGGGCGTTTTGTAGCGTGTTCGAACGCTCTGCAAAACGCTCAAACACCGAAATCCCATTATTTCCTATGGGTATGGTTCACACCTGGGTAGAGCTGCAGCTAACGTCTGGCAGCGGCGAGCGTGAGGTGGGGAGGAGGTGGGACGTGCAGCGTGTGTGGAGCCGTGAACAGGGCCAACCAATCGGAAGCCGATTAATCGATTATTGAAAAAGTTGACAACTTTTTCAATAATCGATTATAATCGATTATGTCGATTAGTTGTTGCAGCCCTACACCTGGGGCGTATTACAGGCCGCATAAACGCGCTACAAAACGCCCTACGCCCAAAGAAGTACAGGAGCTTCTTTGGGGCGTTTTTGTTGCGCGTTTCCATTGGGATACAGCCAAGTAGCCCTCGCTGGGTTTTTTTTTACTGCGAAACGCGCATATTCGATACGCCTAGGTGTGAACCCAGCCTTAGTGTTTTGTGGGTATGCAAAATGTTTTGGCTAGATGTGTATGGCGGCAGGAAAATCAAAAACGTACCCTTGCAATTGGGCTAACCACGCACTCCACGAGTTTAAGAGCTTGTTTTGTCTAGAGTGCTCAAATAAAGCAAATATACCCAACTGATCCTCAGTCCTGCCAGGCTGCTAGACCTACCCCTGCAGCCTCTTCTCCCCTGGTATCTGGCGGTCTAAGGACCGCTGGCATCATCATGTCTCATGCAGGTCCATTGACTTACATTAGACGTGAGGATGCCGAAGGACATTCTGTGGCAACCCAGATCACTTGTAGCAGCCTGCTTGTCACCCGCTCTTCCCCCATCCACTGACAGCACTTCTGGGTAACTCTTGTGATTGGTATCCAGCCGGTGAGCTGAGTGGAAGCATGGCGGCCGGAGCAGAGAAGACCGTGCTTGAGATGGTACGGGGAGCAGGGTGACTGGAGGGCAGGCTTCATAAAGAGAACCTGTCGCCTCCAAATGCTATACAATACAATACAGTTAACAAGCACCTATCACAATGGGGCTAAGAGGAAAAAGTGATTAAATAAATTTAAACCCAACCCCGCCTTCTGCATAAGAGTGTGTGTGTGTGTGTGTGTGTGT